CCTGGGCTCGGATTTGGTGGGGAACGGCTCAGGGGTGCCTGGTGAGAAGCGGGGCACGGCCCGCGTTGCGGGGTCTCGTCCGGAAGCCCTTGTCCCATGGGAAATGGCTCCTGCAAGATGGCGAGGTGGTGTGTGTGGCAGCTGCAAAGAACAGCTTTAGGTTTCCCTTTACTTTTTTTTTTTTAATCTGATTTAGCCTTTTAGGAAGGTAGTTTTCACTGGTAAGTGGGACGAGTTGCATGTGCAAAATGTGCTATATTAGGGTTGTGGCCTCAAGTTGCACCAGGGCAGGTTTAGGTTAGACATTAGGAAAAATTTCTTCACCAAAAGGGTTGTCAAGCATTGGAATGAGCTGCCCGGGAAGTGGTCGAGCCCCCATCCCCAGAGGTATTTAAAAGACGTGCAGATGGGTGCTTAGGGACATGGTTTAGTGGTGGGATGGCAATGTTAGGTTAACGGTTGGACATGATAATCTTTAGGTCTTTTCCAACCTAAACGATTCTATGATTCTAAGGGTTGCCTGCTCCTCTGTACATTAATTCTTGGAAGCAGATGCCAGGCTGGGGAGAGCTGTTTCCTTGTGGGGAAGGTGCATATTGTCCCCTGCAGAGTAGCTTATTGGTAAATGGGGAGGCAGCCTTACCTGTATAATGTGCTCTGGGTAATCGTTAGCTTTCCAAGTGTTACAGTTAAAGTAGCATGATAGCTCACTTAGGCTTCCCTGTGCCTGCACATGATGAAAACTATGTTGGTAGGGACATCTGAGAGGGTGATGAATACCAACATATCTGAGCTGGGCATGGAGTAGTGTGCAGTGGTGTATCTGTCATGGCTGAAATGCCATGCGGCCCTTTCTGGGCAGCCAGACCAGTGGCTGCAGGACTGACCTGGTGCTTACATGCTAGAATCAAAGCTATAGAAAACCTTTATGAAGTTAAGTGTGCTGTCCTGCTTAAAAATAGGGGCTGCCAATTATTTCTGTGGCTTTGTCTCTCAAAAGAGCTGAAGTGTGGGTTGCTTCAGGGCGAACTTTGCTGTAAGGCTTGGATTATTGTTTTGAGTTTTACTTGCATTTTTAAAAGAGAATGTGTGAACATAACATCTTCATTCTTACAATAAGGAAAAGCTAATGAATACTCTCTTGTTTTCAGTTTTAAGATGCATCAACTACACTCTTCCCCTCTCTTACGGCTTCAAAACAGGTAGGTGCTGCTTCTGAAATACAGAGTTTAAGTTGAGAATTAGTGTGTAGGTACAGTTAGAGTGACTAGCCCAGAGTACTCTTGTATCTAAGGAAATTATGGTACCAGTGTGTGTAAGCCAGTGATTGCTTGTGGTGCCTCTTCAGGCAGTCCTCACTTTTCTACTGGGAAAAGTCATGTCTGTCTTTACACCAGAAGGTAGACTTGAGGCCCTTTCTCGTTTCTGATCCACTAATGGTCCTGTAACCAGACTGTAGTAGTATCTTAGATGCCTTTTTTCCTTCGTGACTGCTGCTTCACCATCCACAGCAATAAATAGTTTGTTGTTTGGAGAAAAGTGCCTGATGTATGCTTCAGAAAGAACCAGTAGCTATCAGGATTGCTAACTAAATCAGAGCCTATGATGGTTTCAGTATAAGAGTAGTGGACAGAAGTGATTTCTGAAAACTCCATGCTGAGGCTTTGTGCTTAGTGTCACTGCTGGAGGTACTCCATCGAGTTGTACAAGTGTCTGAAACTTCTGTCTCTTCCAGATCTGCCACTGAATATGGAGACTTGATGCTACTTCACAAGGTAAAAATACTTCTTGAAAATTGAGCATAAAATGGTGCTCAGTGTTTGTCTAGGCAGCACCTTTTGTTCTAACATCAGTAAGCAGACTTTATTTCTTGAGCTAAGTTTCCTCTGTGGTGCCGCAATGATGACACTTATTTGCTACTCTTGACCAAGAGAATGATGAGCACTTTTACCACCATAACCTTTCTCTGAGGCACAACAACTTAGAATTGCCCTTGATGTTTTGATTCTGAATGTACTGTTCATAAGCTTTTTTTTCTTCCAGGACTTGAATTGTGCCTGTGGAAGACTTGCAGAAGAAACATCAGCAGGTGAGAAACATGTAGTCTCTTTAGGGGTTTCTTGCATGGAGCTGCTGAAACACTGCAGTGGAAAGCTTTAAGATTAATTTCTGCTAATACACACAAACAACTGATGCTTCCTAATATTCAAAAACTCTTGATTTGTTTGTTTTATTTGGAGAACTCCTGTTTTTCAAAGTTGTCACAAGAGGTGCTTGCTTGGTACTATTATTCCGAAGCAGATACAGTGATGATGGCATAGTTCAGCAGAATAGCCTGTGAGGAACAGTTTTGTCGTTTGCTCTTACCTGATGTATCTTGCTCTTGTGACCTCTTGGTAGGAGGTGTAGGCTTGGCCCTGAAGGCTGAGGGTACCTAATTTTTTTCTTTTGTTGCAGGCACTGGGAGATGAAGTGATAAGCTGTGCAAGGTAAATATTGCATTGCCTGCATCTGTAAAAACTAATTTATAGCCCTAATGTGTGAAAAGGCTGTGTGTGATGATGGCATAGTTCAGCAGATGACCCATGGTGATCACACTGCTACTGTCTTTCGCTCCTATCTGATGCAGCCTCCTGTACCTTAGGCTAAGCTTGACAGACAATTTGCATGGGAAGCTGAGGGTGAAACACTACTTTGCTCCATGAATGTGTTCAGAAAATTGGTCTCAAGATTGGTAAATGGGCTAAACATTAAACTTGGTAGTATGAATAGAAGGATAGAGTAGGCTGTGCTTGTGAAATTAAGGAGAAGTACAGAGAACAAATTTTCCATTTCAGTAACACAAAATCTTGGTTGATCTGGTGTTAGTGCTGCAAATTCTGTAAGTGGTGTTGCTTTGCAGGCTGCCCTGGACAGAGGATACGTGTGCCTCCAGTGTGAGAAGCTGTTTCACCTGTTACTGATGCTGGTGAAGACAAGGCCTTCCTGATTGAAGGTAATTGAAAAACATTTTTTTAAATGGATGCTACATTTGGCTGTGCTGCATCTGAGCTTGGAAGTTTGCTTTTGGAGATGAGAGGGTCTGCAAATCCATTTTGTTTCTGGAAAATCTGAAGGAAAGATACTAGTACCCTAAGTGCCTTCAGATCCCCTATGCTTTACAGATACAAGCATTAAGTAATTGTTTTGCAGTGTTAAAGATTTCTAGAATGTCCCTGTTGAGACTAAATGGTGAATGTGGCAGTACTATGAATTTAGTATCTGAAATGCTTTTCCCAGCTTAGGCCAACTTAGACAGTGACACAAAGTTCATGTCACTGAACTCTGTGATTCGGAGGTTCGCTCCTTTCTGCAATTCCAGCAGCCTCTGGAGTTGAGGAATTGCCATCTCAAGGGCATTGGGGAGAGTTGCTGGGTAATGGCTTTGGACCCCCCCTGTGGAAGGGGATGGGAGTGTTGCAGGCTACTGTAGATGATGTTGAATCAGGTCTCTGATCCCAATGAGGATAAAACTTGACTAAACGCTGATACAGTATTTCACTGCAACTGATCTTATGCTAAAACTTTCTGCTGGACCCTATCTAATAGCAAATTTTCCTTTGCAGGGTTTCCAAAGTGTTTCTCACTGTGATGTAAGTACTTGTTTTAACTTTGTAATTATTAGCATTAAAAAATATGCATAGAAGTGAAGTATTTGCCGCATGTAAGCTGCGGGGAGGTGCAAGGGGCCAGTGTTGGCTGTGGCTTGCATCTCAGCCAAAACAGGAGGATGCTTAAGAACTGCTGGATAAGGCCCAGCCTTGACAGGCTGGTTTGTGCTAAACTCTTCACTGTGTACCTGTGAGCCCATGAAGTTGCTCTGATAGTGCTGTTTGCATATTTGCCCTCTTTTCCATAGCAACCTTAGCCTAAAGCAGATAGCTGTCTAGTGACTGACAAGGTGAGCTGCCTGTGTGATGAGATGTGACTACCTTGACTTCAATCATGGAGGTCTGCAATTAGCTCTATCTGACTTCAGGCACCTGACTAGATGTCATTCTTGTGTGCTTGCTTGTGTGCTGTACTGATACTTTGCTTTATTCCAGGGCTGGTGTGGTGGAGCTGTGGAGTGGTACAGTTGGTAGAGCTACCAGTAAAAGTAAGTTGCCAGCAAATGCATGTGACTGGTCAGAACTGTGTGACAGGGGAAAGGGAAGTTACTAGATGCTCGCTTCTAATTGCAGTGTAGCTGCAGTGTTAAGCAGAAGGTTCTGTGAGGAAATTTTTGTCTATTTTTTGAAATAGATACTGCAGGATTCACTTTACCCAAGGTGCCAGGGACTGAACCTCATACCTCATGACCAAAGACAGTGATAAGATGTGGTGATGATTCTAACAGTAATGAGACTCTAGAGTAACATCAGCATTGAACTGATACTTTATTTTCTTATGTGTGTGTTGTAGATTTAAGAATGGGAGAACTGCTGGATACTTTGTGACAAATGCTTCTTACTTGGTAAGCTCCTCCCTGCTCAGTTGATGTAAGATTTTATTTTGCTACTTGAGAATGTTAACTGATTTCTGTAACTGAAAAGAGATGGTATGGACTAGTTGAAATGTAACTGCTATGGACTGCTTGAGCTTCTAGTTGGTAAGAAAGAATGTGTGGTAACCTGGCAGTGCAGAGCTTGTAGTCAGCTATTTAACTTTTTACAGGTTAAATTAAGTAGTGGGCTTTTGCAGGGAGTAGTGCTGATCTTAAAAGTTTGGGGTAATGTGGTAAATTGTTTGGCTAGATTAGAGCTTTTATGTGATGTGAATGTAGATGTGGTTGGGAGTAAGGTCTGAAATCCTGAGGTCAGGTCCTCTAAGGAGAAACAAAAGTAACAAAACATTAAGCTTCTCTAAGTGTGTACTGTTTGTGATGATTAATGCTAAGCAATGGGAATCTCTCTGAAAGAGGCTGAGGAGGACTCTTGTGCTGAAACAGTACCCACATTCAAACAAACTCTTGAAGCACTGCCAAGGAGAGTGTGTTAATAAAATTTCACTTGTTGCAGAGTGTGGAGCTTGTGGGAAGTTTGTGACACAAGACTAACTTATATCTGAGGTAAGTGTAGAGTAATGGGGTTAGATAATTACTGGAATATTGTCTTTGTGCTAAATGCCTAGATAGTAGAGCCTAAAATTAGTCCTATAATAGATCTGATTTGTCTTCCTTTACTGTATTCTGATTCTCCCACTCTTGGCTACTGTGGGAATAAACATGATGTGCTTGAAGCAAGAATGCACTTCTATGTAGTTCTGAATTTGAATTGAAAAGGAAGGCTGAACTGTAGTTAGTGGTAAACTTCACATAGAGTTCTGTCTTTATGAACAAGATGTGGCCTCTGACTCTTAAATTGGGTTTTTATTGCTGAATGTCTTCACACAGTGGAAATAGTAAAGGAACTGGATTGGTGGAGACCACTTAGCCAATACAGTGCTGATAACATAGTACAGCAGAATGCACAGCAGCAAACAACTCCTGTCATAAGTCATATCTGATGTATCTGGCTATTTTGTGAACTGACACTATAATACTGCACTCTTGAGTTAGTAAAGAAAAAACAAAACACCAATCCTATGTTCTGTGCTTGTCACTACTCAGTAATTTTTGCTAATCTTGCATATGTTGGCTGAGCACAAATTTAGGATTGAGTTCTAGATGATTGCTGTACAGACTTGTTTCTTCCAGCACACTGATTCCCACTTTTAAGGATAGGTTTTCAAGATGATTCATATGGGACTTGTATTCAATGAATTTTGATAACCTAAAATACAACTTTCTGTTGGGGAGAGACAGTATCACAAAGCAAGCAGCAGCTTTGTATTTTTCCCCAATTCTTCCAGTGTTAGTAATGCTGCATCTCCAATTCATTTAACATTTGTAAGCTTTGTATATCCTATTTGGGTGCTGCAAGTTGAAGTTCTTGTCAGTTGCCAGCTGAAATGCAGCCTCCTTGTAGGTCAAATCAGTTTGTTGAATAGAATTTCTTAGATAAATAATTAAACTTGCATATAGTGATGTCTGTTATTCTGAAACAACTTCTCTCTTTCTCAGGAAAGGACTGTGCTGTCTGCAACCTCATTGGGTAAGACCACACAACAGATTAATTCTGTTAACTTCTGGGAATATTTGTAACCACTGATGAAATTTGATTCTGCCAAATGAATTACTGTGATATTACAGTTTCCGTTCCATTCTTCTCTGAGGTTACAAAGCTGCTGTGGAGCTTTTAGCGGCTGTGCTACTGCATATGTTAATTGTGTTTTCTTGCTTTAGGTGAGGAGGCAACTTTGAAACTACTGTATGAAGAACAGAGAAGGTGAGTGTAACTAGTTAATAGTAAAATTCATTTGCTGGAACAAATGATGATAACCTTAGCTTGAACTCTCTCTCTGAACAGAGATGAAAATCTAAGGTCTGAGTTGTTCCCAGCAAGCTTCTTGTGCTGGTTTGATGCCTTATATAATGGTTCTTATGTCTGTTTTTAATAGGTGGAAGATTGCAGAATAATGGGTTACAACTGCATGAACAGCATTTAAAAAAGCCAAGCTTTTTTCACACACTGGTAATGTTTGCCTGATACTGATTGGAACAAATAAAAATTTGTAAACTCTACCTGTTGTTGTGAACTGCTTTCTGACTTGGAACAGCTTGCTGTAAAACAGCTCTAGGCTACTTTATAAAAGCTTCAAATGCTTGATTTAGAAAAGGGACTAAACTAGCTTAAATGCTAGTCCTGCAAGTGTTTTAACTTGGGTGTCAGATATTGCTAGTGTGCAGACTGCAGTTGACCTGAGCAATACCAAGATTTGGACAAAGCTAAATAATTGTAGTAACGAGTGTGTTGTAGGTGAGAGCTGAACAGTACTGCTTGTGTATTTGCTCCTAAAATTACAGGCTACCACTAAGTCTGGTATTATATGTTCAGGTGCAGATGATGTGCACAGAATAAGCATACAGCTTGGACACTGTCAACCCTTTTCCAATGGACTCTTAAATCCAATCTGGTCACTGGCATTAGTCTGGAACAAGACAGTATGCACCCTCCATGAAGAAAAAAAACCTAGACCAGAGAGGTGTGGAGAGTTTTGGTAATACTAGTTTAGAAAAAGTTACTGCTCGTGAGGCACTAGGGCCTGCTAAGGTAGTGCTGCTTCCCAAAACTCATTAATGGTAGGTTTGTTCTCTGAAAAATTCATTTCCCCCATCTTTCTGTTGTCACAGGAATGATGCCAATATGGGCAAAGTCAGTTGTATAAAGAACTCATTCTCTGTAACACTTGAGGTATTGCTGTAGCACTTCTAGACATCTAAACTGTTCTGCAGGAATATTTTCAGATTACGTGTTCCCTAGAACCTTTCAATAAGGGGAATAGGTTTGTCATATCTCCCTCCCACTCCAGCTGGTACAATCTACTTGAATTTAATTAACATCTTACAGAAAGAACTGAAATATTTTTAGCCAGAACAGTATTTCATTCTAGAGAAAATTAATTAGGCATGATCCTGTGTCTGTGCAAATTAAATCTTCTGCAGTAAAGCAAAAGCCATTAATAAGTTCTGTTTCCATTCAGAGCTGGTTAGTAGCCTCTTAATATTCTGTGCCACCATATTACTTTTTAAAATACCACACTTCATTGTGCCTGTTAAAGAGCTTGAAGGGACTGTCATAGCCTGCAGTATAGAAGAAGTCTTCATGGAATAGTTGGCCTCTGTTTCTTAAGATTCTGGCCAAGACTTCAGCTTCTTCAGCATATTTCTCTGGGGAGGCAAATCCACCAAAGGACCTGGTAGAAGTGAAGAGGGAGGGGGGTTTTGTTAAGAGTTCAAGGACCTGGTTTTTTTTTTTTTTTCCCAGAAGGAAATTTCAGGCTTGCAAAGCATGCAGTGTTTGAGCATTTCGATGCAGTTCATAGTTATTAGGTAAACTATGCAGAAGTGACTGCCAGGGAGTACATGGCTATGTATAGTACTTCAAAAGGATTTTTAAAAAAAATACTCAAGTTGCTTGCAATTCTTAAGAGCATTGGCTGACACAGATTATTGCCTATGGCTTTACATGCAGAGAGGACAAGTGTAGCTTTGGAAGCTTTTTCTGTAATCGAGAACTGTCATGCAGGTTTTGTGGGGAGTTTGGGACTACAAATAAAGGGGGCTGGAAGAGTGACTTCGGTGTTCTGTAGCACAGGGTGTGCCCCAGAGAGGAGGATTCTGTAGGCTGCATCACTACAAACCCACCCAATGCAATACCCAAGAGTGCTGAGAAAAGTATGTTTCAAAACTTGGTCATTTTTCTTTTGTTCTTGGTGAGACACCCAAGCTTAAGAAAAATTGATGGAACTTGAGCATTTAGAAATCGAGGCTGTGAACAAACAGGATATAGCCAGTTAAAAACCAGCTGTAATAAAGAGGTAGCTACCTTCATTTGTTAGCTGTGCTGGTGCTGCTTACCGGACAAAGATGGCTGCTGCTTTCCGCTCTTCAATAAACACATCTGAGTCAGTGGGCTGTGGTGGACAGTCCTGGTGCTCAAAGGGCACAAAGAAAGAGATCTTGAAGTCTGTGCAGCCAGATTTTATCAGGCATGTCACTGGTACAGTCATATCAATTTTCATTTCTAGAGGAGAGGGGGGGGAAAAAAAGTCTTCTAAGCTGTAAGGAAAGACAGTGCCTGAAGGCTGCTGTAAAAGGGTCACGCACTTATCCTAAAACCAGAAACCAAAGCAGCCTCATGGGTGTATTGGCCTATTGGAGTCACAAGGGTGTTAGACCAGGAAAGCAAACTTGCTTTGTCCCGCAGCTCATCTACTGTCTTACACTATTCAGCTTTGTCTACCATTTGTGCTTCTTAAAGTTCAAAAGCAGCACATTGTACCTTTCTCATTCTTCCCTTGGATGTAGTGGAAGAGTTTCCAGAAGCCCTGGCGCATCGCCTCCTTCTGGGTCTCTCCCCTAATGACTGTGCTGACCCACTTCGCTGTCTCATACTGACGCAGTTCATAATCCTTTGCCTGAAAGGCAGCAAAAGTCACAGTAACCATGAGATGAATACTACAGATGACATAAATGAATACCTACTCTTTCCAAATTGATGTGAAAGTATTGCAATCAGATAACACTGGGCAGCCTCTTAGCTGCAGACTCTAGGCGTACCCCCACCATGAAACCATTTGATGCCTCCCTTGCAAAACCGTGCTGTCCTGTCTTGGGCTGAGCTCCTCAGGGCTTATAAATAGGTGTTCCTGTTCCCCTTTGCGATTTGGTGCTAACAGTGTCCCTAGCAACGCTTCCCCGCTCATCAGGCAGAATCCTAAATCCACTAGCTCTGCAGCACCCTGACTGCAGCAAGTGCTGTTCCCCTGGCCTTTAGTGGTTACCGTTGTCTCTGCTGAGCTCCACCGAGGGGACTGCAGATCCAGGGACAGGAACGTTTGCTTGAAGGATTTGATCATCTCGCCAGAGCTGAAAGGCAGACACAGTTCATGGACCTCTCTCCAGTCAATGCAGTGGGGGAAGAAGAAAGCATTAGGGCTTTTCTGCCTAATGTCACAGAGTTTTTCCTCAGCCTCTGGTCTTCAGCCTTTCAGTAACAGTTGCTACGCTGAGAACTGACTGGAAAAGTTCGGGCAAGAGACTGGTACTTTCTAAAAGGCAGTCGTCCCTGAAATTGTGGAAGGCCCGGATTCCAGTGCTTATCCCCAATGATTCAACAAGGGCTGAAATCCTTTAAGCCCTTGAAGGAACCAACAGAGAACCAGGATGCAGAAGCTACCTCTAGGCTGATGTGGGAGCGGTCATCTTCCAGGATAAGCTGCCCTCGCTTCTCTGTGAAGCGAAGGCATTTCCTGGCTGCAAAACAGAAGGGTGAGATTCTGCAAATGACAGTTGTGTGGAAACCCCTAAGTAAAAAGGACTGGAGGAGTTCAGCCAATTTGCTCCTGGATGAAAAGGTACTGGTGTTGATGGGTTATTGACTGTGCCCATAACTTTATTGGGCCTCATAATAGCCAATGCCTTTCTTAGAGGCCTTTAGCCCCAGAATCCTATGGATAGATGAGATTTTCTGTATTTGTGAATATGTAGCTACTTTCCTAGGTAGTCTTCACACAGAAGGAAAAAGCCGAAAACATGAAAACACTTGCCTTCCTCTCACTGTCACAAAATAAAGCAAGCTAAACCAATCAAAATCACTATTGGAGTAATCACATCTGGTTAAAAGTCTTGAGATTTTAGGAACCACCTTTTACGATTTTTGTCTATACCAGGCAGACTGTAGTGCATAACCTACATCCTGAGAAGATCTCTGCTTTCTATTACATTACAACGTCCTTTTCACTTCATGTTGCAAAGATGACACATAACTAATTCAGCAATTACCTGGATTCTTAGGTCATAGTACATTTTATTCTCAGCGTATAACTTAATTGCCTGTTTCTTGGGTAACAGAACAAACTTTCAGTTTGTTTTTCAGTTCTTCGCCTCCTCAACTGTTTATAGCTGCCCACACAAGAAGCCACTGCTCTGTCACTTGTGGCTTCACTTTTTTCATGGGCTTGTAGTATTAAAGGTGCACTGATGCAATTCACAGCATGTCCCGCCTCCAGTGATAAAGTCTTTAATGTATGTCATCTTTAACGTGACGTTTGTGAATGGCTATTTTTGTAAAATCACAAACTGCCTTGCGCTACCTGACTACCCTCTTACCTGTTTCCATTTTCTTCTGATGTGCAGACCACTGTTGAATGTTGTTAATCCCCTTCTGTAGCCTGGTTTAGAGGTGGCTACAAGGAGTTTTCTCTTTGGGATCAGTGAGGTTGAAAAACTTTTATCAAAAAAAAACCCTCAAACCACCCAAAAAACCCCTGCTGGCACTGATTTCACTTATAATCCTTAAAATAAGTAATGCACAGAGCACTCGCATGTTGAGCTTTTTCTAGCAGCTCCGTCAGTTGTTGCCCTAGAGCAAGGGAAGATCAGAGAACCACAGCAGGAGACTGATGCCAGCGGTTAAAAGCAGGCACTGTCCCCCTGCCCTGTCCCAGCCTGAAGATAAAACATCTTCAGCAGTCCTTACTGGAACGACTGGCCACCAGGGACTGCTGCACAGTCCCAAGCTGGATGCTTGTACTCTTAATACACTTTTTGTCAATAGTACTTACAAATCATCAAAGCCTAACAGTAAAGCAGGAATCCAATCACTTTATTAGAAGCAAATGTGAGCCATGATACTGAAACGTCTACAGTAATTTATTTTACCCATCGCCATTTCAAAAGCAAAGATGATGCTGCTTTGCTATTGCTTCACTTACTTTCTCCTTGCTACAACTCGATAGAAAACACATTTCTCCTCTTCATGTGCTCCCTGGGTACGTTAGGAAGCAGAGAAGTAAATATTCCTCCGTTTCAACACATGCAGTTGTAGTAGCTGCAGTTTGAGCTGGCTTGTCTGTGTACTTGCCAATTCCAACCCCTCCCCAACACACCGTCTCTTAACTGCTGGTTAGATCTCTCACAGCTCTGTCTTTTATAACTTTGTGGCCAATACTATCAGTGACTGCATGTACAAGATACTTTTGAATTACATAACCCAATGCTTTGGGGGGGGAGGGGGAAGACAAACTGAGAAAAATCCTCCAAATATTTACACTTGAATTACATTTTATATTTACAGGAAAGCTTAGCTTTGAGATTTCCATCTGTTGATGTAAATATTACTGCAGGGTGGCTAGGCTTTTTCCACGGCTGTTACACATGGGCCAGAGGGCCAGAAAGCACAGCAGGCATCTTCACAGGTTACACCGATGCAGTGAGTAAGCATAGCCAGAACATGCCATTCCACGAAGCCGTGAGTTAGCTGAAGAAAGCGGAGAAAGTAGACGTACTTACGTGTTCAGCTGTCCTTATCCTTCTAGCTATTGCAGTCTGTCCTTCCGAGGCTGCACATACTCAACAGGATGCTGCGTGTCAGTGTTTATTTTAGTTTCATCAAACTCCGCCCATGCCTCAGCCCTACTGGAGGGAGATGCTGTTATGAAAGCCAGGAGGTTGTAGCCTTCTCCTCCTCCTCTGGGTCTCACTGATGAGCTCCCACGCAAATGCTGGAAGCCCCACCTACTGCCCACGAAGCAACATTGGGTCCAGTGTGTGATCTGGCTCCACAAAGAGTTTTGTACCCTTGTGTGATTTCCCCTGGTTTCCATGGCTTTGTGCCTACTTAAATCAGGGTCAGCGGCAGGTTTTGTGCTCTCAGGAGAAAGAATTTCACATAAATAACACACACACCCCCGACTCAGATTGCATGAGAGTGATGGTTCAGAATGACAGCTTTTCCTTTTTACCCCTGGGGTAACATGGTAGGTAGAAATCTGGCTGCAAACTAAGCTAAGGCCATCCTCACGAGATCTCTGCTGGCACGCTATGAAAGACAGACAGTGTTCTATAATGGCTGTCTGTTTTGAGCGGTATTTGAGACTAATAGGCCCCCTTAGCTCTTGGATATCTGCACAAAGGGGTTATACAAAGCTATTGTGAAAATCTGTCCTGCTTATAATACACAAAGTGAAGCTGGACTCTTCATTTAACCAGCTGCAGCTCCAGACATATTTAGGTACCAGCACAATAGGGCAGATTAAACTTCACAGTTGGAGTTCCAAGAACACCTCCCCTGTTTGTCATGGTTTGTGCAAATTCCTTGCGGCCAAATTCACCTGAGCTCTCTGGGACATTTGAAATCAGTAACTTGGAATGACTTTTAACAGGGAACACACTTTGCTTGTAGAGGACTTGATCGGGATGCTGTGTGATACACTCCTATTCCAAAAGGGGGAATAAAAAAAATCAAACCCACACCAAATAGCAATTGCAAACTTAACGTCTAAAGCCACAAAGCTAAAGCTACAGACGTGGGGTGAAGAGTGTTTCACTGATGGATCCTGTTAGAACATGCTAAGGCCTGAAATGTAGAACAAGTTCTCTGCATGCTTTTACTTTACAGGGTAAACTTTCTCTCAATTTTACCTGTGTTCTGCTCGGGTGAAACAGGAAAATCAGCAGGGCATTTTGGAGAAGCAGAAGCTGCTACTTCATGGTCTTTGCTCAGGAGCTACAGGCATGCAAAGGCACGTGCTTGTGCAAGGTTAGCTGTTACATTACCCTCTCACCCTAACGTTCCTGTCAAGTGTGTACTAGTAATTATTTTCTCCAGAGGAGAGAAGGCCATGTAAAAAACTATGCCAGCCACGACAGTTTGGCAAATCTCAACAAATCTATCCCAAATCACGAGCACACAGAAGTATTGCCTTGAAAGGGGGGCAATCTGTAGACAAACACAAGCCCCCTGTGAATTCTCGTTTTGTTTCTGAAGCAGAGAGACCCAGAACAAATCCCCAGTCTGTTTGAGTGTGTCCAGCTGACGTTTCTGTCCCTGACAAAGAGCTAACTGTTCCTGGTGGAGTAGCCCGAGGTTGGAGAACAATCATCAGTGTTTTCCTGAGTGGTTGTTTTCCAACACTCTTGTTTTTCACATATAAATTGAGAGAACATGTCAACAGTTGGAAGAGACAGTAGGGCAGGCATGAGGACATGTATACGGTACATAACTATATACATACCCAAAGCGTATATAATTAGGGGGATGGGGAAAGGATTGTGACGGAAGCTGACACACAGCCGCACTGGTACCTCCAAAGAGGGGAAAACCTGAGTGTGCTAACCCTGTACCCCTCCCCTTTACACAGGAAAATAAGGGGAAAGAATTGTTTTAGCACCTTGAGGTCCCAGTAGTTCGCAGAACATGTGACAGGGAAGTTCAACAGCATACGTATGCTGCTAGTTTGCCTGGCTGTCTCTACTGCATGGGGGAAAGCAGAAACGGGCAGTAATAAAGGCTCATACTGCTTATATAAATACCAGCCTCTCCTTGTACACTATCCCCCTAATGCAAAGAGTTGCTGCCCACAGAGGAGCCCTAAATGTACTAATTAAACAGGCAGGAATTGAGTCTCAAAGGTAGCCTATGACACCTCTGTTTAATGCCGTATATATATGTCTGGGACTTGGCTGGTATTTTCTAGAACAGTACTTAAGCAATGTTTTTTCAGGCTAGCAGCTTCTGTTGGATAAGTGTAAGGACAAGCCGGTGATGTGATCACTTGTGATTTCCATTTTTCCTCTCTATAGACCCTATCTATAACAAGCCCAGACAAGGCCTTAAGCAACACGCTGCAAAGCAGAAATGCTTACATCTGCTCTGTGGCAACATTGCAATAGCTGCTGTCAAATTCATGCCAGTGTGTTGCAAGCTGCCTTTATCCCTAGAGGCAAGCACAGACTGCTTGCACAAAAAAGATTAATCTTTTCCACTGACCTAAGTGTGTCAGGGCTGGAGAAGCCCAGGAAAAAAATGTTTTGTTACAGTATGATTAATGATAATTTTGAGTCATGTTCTTGTAACTTGACAAGTCTGTCGCGTGATATGAAAAAATTGCGTGTGAGGGACAGAGAGGGATGCATGTGTCTCCAGTCTGGCCGCTCACGTGTTCTAACGAGGGGTCTCAATACAAATGCTCCAGGCAGTTCTGCATTTCTGCCTAAGCCTGTCAGAGCACCGGTTAGCCTTGCATTTGGTAATGATTTTGATTTAAAAGAACTGAGACACTGCATGTATAAATGAATTTGCTTTTGCAAACACACACTTATCAGATGATGCAGAAGCTCTTCACAGCAGAGAAGCTGAGCATGTGATGTTACTGCAGTTATGTAGTAAATATAAGGTCCACGGCAGCAAAATTGTCTTTGTAAGTTGTTGGATGAACTGTGGTTTTCTGCAAATTTATCTCCCAAAAGAAGCCACTTGTCTCCTTGCGCTAAAGAAAGAGAAAGCCTTCTACCAAATTCCATTTTATATCTTGTTCTCATTTCCAGGAAAATGAAGAAGCATAAGCATACCATCTTCTAAAGCAGCAGCTGATTGTACTATAGTACTGTTCCAAGGAGATTCCGTGTTATCCCTTGCAAATTGCGGAAATGAAATCTCTGCTGTAACTCTAATGAGATGGTATTTAGACCTTACGCTCTAACCAACACACTTTATGACAGCACACCAATTTGTTCCCATTGGATTGGCCTTTAGCCAAAAATCATTTGCTTTCTGGAAATGCATATGTGGATTTTGTCCCCCTGCTTTTTGCCTGATTCCAGCTAATTTGTTACAAATGACACATGAAACTATCACATCTCCCTGCTGCCTTGAACAGCTGACTCAGTGACAGCACTACCTAAAATCTTGCTGAATGAGTGACTCCTTACTCACTTCATCAGAGATTGCATGGAACTGACTGCTCTTGACCAAATAAAAGCTTTCTACATCCAACATCACTCCAAAGCACTCTTGACTTGGCATTTTCCAAGATTTCTCTGCCAAAGAACACATTTTGGAACCATTCTAGGTTTGGAGATTTGATCCTAAATTAATCTTTCCTTCCAGCTGCCATGAAAACCCTTCCTAAACCTTCCTGTCTTCTGTCCATAGAGCCCAGAGAGAGACTGGAAGCCTTCTCAGCTTTATATACTGCTTTATTGACTTGGCTTCTTTCCAAAATAAGGGTTATTTTTAATATGGATCTGTTTAGAGATCTAGTTATCAGCTGAACCCTACAAGCAATCACAGAATCACAGAATGGCAAGGGTTGGAAGGGACCTTGGGAGATCATCCAGTCCAACCCTCCTGCTAAAGCAGGCTCACCCAGAGCAGCTTGCACAGGACATCATCCAGGTGAGCTTTGAATATCTCCAGAGAAGGAGACTCCACACCCCCCTGGGCAGCCTGTTCCAGTGCTCTGTCACCCTCAAAGTAAAGTTTTTCCTCATCTGAAACCTCTTATGTTTCAGTTTGTGCCCGTTGCCCCTTGTCCTGCCGCTGAACACCTCTGAGAAGAGTCTGTTTCTGTCCTCATGATGTCCACCCTTGAGATATTTGTGTTGATGAAATCCCCTCTCAGTCTTCGCTTCTCAGTAATCGTCTCAGTAAACTTCTTTAGCCAGCATTAATACTCATCTAAATCCACAGAAAACATGCAGTCCTCTCTGAGTGCTGGAAAGAGAGGAAGTGAATTCATCTTCCCCTACAAATTCATCCGCATTCTGCTATTGACAGATTCTTCTCAGAAACAAGAACATGAAACAAGGTGAATTTTTTTCTTTGAGATAGGAACATCTTATGCAGAGAAACAGGATTAAGGTGACATAGGTAACAGTGTTTGCTAGAAAAAAGCCTTGACACAAATCTATTGTATTGCTATTTTTGCCTTTTAAAATGTTTTTTTAACAATGACTTAAGCTATAGCCTAAGGTGAGAGAGAATACACCCTCCTTGCAAATACAACTCTGAAGAGGAAGGAGCCAGGCATCAGTCATCTGAGAGCATTACTCAGAGAGAGGGCTCAAAAAACAGCCTGAAGGAGAACAGGCATTTACCGATTGTTTCTTATCAATAGGTAAGTCCAATATTTGAAGTCACTCACAATCTGTACCACAAATATTGCTCTCAAGCAATGACAAGAAAGAAGTCATTAGCAAGGACAAGAGGAAATGGCCTCAAGTTGCGCCAGGGCAGGTTTAAATTGGACATTAGGGAAAATCTCTTCACAGAAGGGGTTGTCAAGCACTGGAATGGGCTGCCCAGGGAAGCAGTCAAGTCCCCATCCCTGGAGGTATTTAAAAGATGGGCAGACGAGGTGCTTAGGGATATGGTTTAGTGGTGGGATGGCAGTGTTAGATTAACAGTTGGTCTTGATGATCTTAAAGGTGTTTTCCAACCTATATGATTCTATTCTATTCTATTCTGTTCTATTCTATTCTAACCACAGTGGCAGCCCAAGGCCTCTTCCATCTCACCTACTAGACAGGCTCTCCAGAATTAAGTAGGAGCTCAGTACCAGCCCCAGCATTT